CATACAAACAATCCTTCAGCTCCAACCTTCTGTCTGAAACTCAAAAAGTATACACTTATGGTGGTACACGTCTAATACAAAGACATGACACTTTAAGCTACATAAAACTAAATGGTGCTTACTGCTTATTTAATAAGAAACGAAACAGCAAAGATTCTCTTTTGGTTCACGAGTAACTCACCGACATTGTGATTCCACACAAGAAGATGAAAAGAAGAATTTGAAGAAAGATTCCAGAACAGCAACTGATATAACCAAGTACTCAAAGCTGAGGAAAAGGTCCTTTAAGAATTGGTTATGCTGAACTTTCAAGTGAACATTACACCAAAAAAAAAACTTTTGAGTAAACAAAAAGACCTTGATCTCACCTTAGCAGTGGAGAACTCTGAACCCAATGCGAAGCACAGGAACACCACACCAAATTGATCGATTGTTTCAACCTACATACCAAAACGAAAGCATAATATGTAAGATGAAATCCAAAAACATCTTTCCCGAATTCATTAGTATCAAGAATTTGACTATAGAAGAAATCTAAAACTTAAGACTATGTGGATGAACCAGAAGAATAAGGTTACAATCACTCGACACCGTTAACAATTCGTTTTCTATTTTCGTTTTTTTTTTCCTTTTTTTGGCTATAACTGCTAATTGTTTTTTTCTTTTTTTCTGCAGAAAATGAATATAATGTGGCAAATTTTAATTGGATGGTGAATTTATAGGGTGAACCCAAGAAAAACTCTTGTTCTAGTAGCATTGTGATCCATTTATGATAATACTGGGAACTATTCAGTAGTCTTATTGTAAGCATTCCAGTTCTCTTCAAGAGTCATCTAGTCCAGCTCATGTGCGGAATCAGACGCTTCGATGTACGATGTCCCCTCAAAATTTTCTGTGAGATTCACTTACTTAGCTTTGCCTCTTGTGGACGCTTCATATAACTTACAAAAACGTGGAGGAGTACGACATGTACAGGACCAATGTCCTTTACATCCAGATCTGTAACATGCAGTTTCATGTTTCTGAGTGGTATCCACTTGGGTTTCTTTACCCTTAGAAACTTGTTTGGATCTAACCCATTTGTTAGATCCTTTCCATTTGGGATTGTAAGTTTTTCCACGTTTGTTGTTGAAACGGTGACCATGAAAACGACCTCGACTTGTTTGGGTTCTCTTCTCTGAGTTTTCTATTGTCGTAGCATTCACTTCAGGGAATGCCTTGGCTCCCATTGGTTGGGAATTGTGGTTTTTGATCAGGAGCTCATTATTCTTTTCAGCAACATGAGCGCAACCATCAATTCAAAAAATCTTGTGTACCCGCATTTTCTGTAACTTTCAGATAAGAAGTGAAGCTGTTTGTGGAAAGTGTTGTATGTCTTATTCATCATTTCTGCTTCAGAAATAGGGTTTCCACAATACTTCAGTCGTGAAACTTTTCTCATAACGGCGGAATTATATTCCTCAAACTTTTGAAAATCTTGGATCCTCAGGTTTTTCCACTCTTCCATAGCGTGAGGGAGATTGACTTCCTTTTGATCATCTAAGCTTTCTTTTAAAGCTTGCCATATTTCAGTTGAGTTTTCTATGCTTGCATAGTCATGTGTAACATTCTCATTAAGGTGTTTCATCAGGAAAAATATCGCTTCAGCCTTAAGTTCAGGCGGCGATTTGTTACCGATTACAATCGTCTCGGTTAACTTTTTCATCACCAGATAGGGTTTCACGTTAGTGATCATCCTACATAGTTTTCTCCAATTATTTCGAGAGCCGGAAATTGAAGATGCTCGATTCTTGCCATTTGTATTTCTAAAAACAAATATAATAAATTTTATTAGAATTTTAATAGTATTTAAAATGAACCATTTACATTAATCATGGAAGCAATTACAAGGAAAACACCGCATCCAAAAAAATGGCATTCATGTTAAATTATGTCGGAGTAAATTCTCCAACGAAAAGACCATACGTACAAGCAAAAATTACAATCATAAAACTAAAAGCAAGCAAATCATCTTTATTCATGAAGAAAATTATTTGAAAGTATTTGAGAGGATATCAAATGTTTTGTTGAATTTAATGAATGAAGATGAGTATATTTATAGATGAAAAATACTGTTAATAGCTGTTGGAAAAATGGTAAAAGTTTTGAAAAATTTCTGTGGTATATCGTTTGAACCACAAATCAGTATGAATAACTTATAATTTTATAGTATCAAGAAATTTAAATAAGAAAAAAAATTTATACCTGCATAAAATAAATAATACTGATATACGATAGAGAGATACTATTATATAGAGGGAGGAAGAAGTAATGGTGCGAGTTACAAATGATCAAAATAGATCGTATATATAGAACTGAAAAAGTAAGATTTATCGTGTGTATATAGTGACGCGGGCTCCCCAAAATTTACGTACACACGAAAACATTAATTTTTGGTGCATGAATTCTTGACAATCATTTCTCACGTTTATAACATTTTAGTGAATAAACCTAAATAGTCTCCCACATTAGCTCAATAATGTGTGCTACACGATCCAGTTATACAATTAATAATATAAACCATAAATACTTTTCTATTTTTTAACAACTATCCATAGATAGATGAAGTTTCTTTTTTTTTTAATTTTGTAACAGCTACCCATAGATGAAGTTTTCTTTTCTAATTTTTTAACAGCTACCATAGATGAAATTTTAATCGGATGAGGAAGTAATTCATATTACCGTATCTGATCTACAAGAAATTATTTCCTTTAGTTCTTGCCTCCCTAGATTCTTCCTTTAGGTTTGCCTTTTCCAACTTTTTACTTAAGGAGAAGCAAGTTGGAGAGTATCAACCGAAAAGAAGTCTTTCCCACTAATTTCTTTTTCATTTTTCACTTTCCACATATACCAGCAAATCCATGGAAAGATGTTGAATTTTGGTTCCAGTAGAACCACTTCTTCTTTTCCAAAATAGAAAGTTCATGTTTGATATATAAAAGTTAGAAAGAAACTTGTAAGGGACGAATAGTCTGATAATGCCCAATCATTTAAGCCTAGAGGGAATAGAAAAAGAAGATGATTAATCAACTCCCTTAGGCCACCACATATAGGAAAGGTACTATAAGTACTCTCTCTTCTGCCGCAACACATCCCAAGAAAGGTTACCATAAGAAGTGTTTCATCTTGTTTAGGGTTCGTATTTTCCATATGAAGATTTGACTGTGTAAATCATTGACTTCGTAAGATTCCAAACATATCCATTCAAAGATGAGGAACTAGTAGGTCTTAATTAATCCAAAGATCAAAGATACATCCTCATGTTTGAAAATCTCTTACAAGATCGATATCCCACTTCTTGGTGTCACTCCTAATAAAGGAGGGAACGAAGAGTTAAAGTAATATGTAAGTAATGAGATTTGAAGCTCTAGGGGAGTGAACTATTTAAGCCGTGTGTTATGACCTAATCCAATAGTTTTGCACAAACCCAATTTAAACAGATGTTTTGCTGCCATAATACTATCTAAATGATGGTGAGTACACTCTTCAATCCTATAAGGGGGAGGACCGATTGTTATACCTTCTCTTTAAAGCATGTGCCAAAAAGTATGATGTGAACTTGATTAGACTGCACAATTGTTTCGCAAGAAGCACTATATTGAAGTCATGTTGATCTCGAAATCTCAAGCCCTCCATATACTTGAGTATGTAGATAATAAGAAGTTTCATATTAAATGGAAAGTTATGTTAGTTGTAAACTATGAAATATTTGATTTTCACTAAATATATAGCTTAACTCTGTAATGATAATTTTCGCTTTAAATAGACAGTTTATGAATTTGTTTTTATTTTGAAACGTAAACTGATAGAGGAAGTTTCAGTTATAGAAATTTGATATTTGTTAAAAATAATCTTTATAATTAGAAAACAAAATGATCATTTCCATTCCAAGATTATGAACAATGTTGATCTAAAGATGTGATATCGTTTCCCAAAACATAAGCAGATCATTCAAAGGAAATGAGTAAGTAAATCAAAATGCATTATAAAATCATAAAAGAGACAATCCAGAATCGAAATGTGAACAAAACGCCTTTCACAAGCCAAAACAGTTGGAGTGGGCACAAACCCGAACCGAACCAAACCAAACCGATTCAAACTGAACCAAAGTATATGTCTAAACCATTTGGTTCAATCTTTTATCAACCCGAATGGTTCGATTTTGTTTGGTTTTAAACCGAACCAAACCAAAAACCAGAAGTGTTTATTATAGATTACTTAAATATGGTAATACTATTAGATTTAATATATTTAACCATTGAACCTAAATAAATAATAATTTTATATGTTCTACTTCTAAATGTATATGATAAACACAACCAAAAAATGTGAATCTATACATTAACATCAAAACCGAATATTTTTATGATTTTATATTATAAGTTTAAAGATATTAATATAAAATTATTGGATTACATAATCTACATATTTATTGTGATGTTTGGTTTTACGCTTAGTTATGGAGAAAACAAGGATTTAGTGTCAAATGATGATTTGTTAATGTTTTTGAATATTATATTTTTGTAATAAAACTAGAGCAAAACTAAAAAGTCAACTCGATTGAATTGAAAAATACAAACAAAACCATATTAAACCGAATCAAACACAAACCAAACCGAACTATAACCGAACCATTCACAAACCAAACATAAATCAAACCAAACTAATATGGGTTGACTTTGGTTAAAGTTTTGTTAGACCCAAATAACCAAAACCAAACTGAACCCAACCAAACCCGTAATAAAACCAAAATACCCACCCTACAAAACAGGATCCACATTGTTCATAATATGAACCCTAAAAATAAAAAAGGCTGTAAACTTCCATACAAGAAATCTCAAAATGTCCTTTGAACCTGAGCGTGGTGAAGAACCACTATTCTTCCATGTCTTAAAACGCTCCTCGAGCTTTGCTTTAGCCTCCTTAAGAGAATTTACCTTCTTGTCCTTGGGCAAAAGAGTCTAAAGGGTGACGAATTCTTTGAGATCTACATCGAGGGTGTAACGAGTAGGCATCAGATTTTGGTAGTTAACGACCTTGATGAAACACTTAACCCTAGATTTCTTCATTTTCTTCTTTTCAGAGTCCTTGCGGATGACCTTTCTCAGGTACTTCTTAAGTCCAGCCACGAGGCAATGTCCATAAGGATGTTCACGGTTTCCGTCGTTGAACAAACGGATGTTCACTATAAGCTCAATAAAGAGGAGCTTGACTATTCGTGGAAAGAGGAATGAGTTACACATGCTAATCGATGTTTAACACACTGCTGTGAGTTAGTTATGGAACGATGACATGTCAGATAATCATTGGTTCCAAGTTATTACTTTGGCGTGAAACAAAGTAGATTTGGATTTAGCACTTTATTAGGAAAAAAATATTGTGTGGGGGCATATATATAACTGAATTACCTTGGATAAATTTAGGCTAGACGTTCTATTGAGAAAAAAATTGAGCTAGAGATTTTTTCTTGTCAGCTAACAAACAACGAGTGACTTGTGAGTGCAGCTCGGCCTTTTGTATTTGAGAGATTAGAAATCGTTCCGTCTCTAGTCGTATGTGACTGAGTATAAACTGAATTAAACATATCAAATTAAAATATTTTTAATCTACAAGAAAGTGTTCTTGGAGTCTCTCGTGTGTTCCTTTATTTGGTTGTCTCTATACTTTTGTTTGGTATCAGAGTGGGAAACCTCTGTTGTATTGAATACTACTAACAGGTTGAGGTCATGCTGATTTTATGGAAACTATGAAGGAACTTGTGACTTTACAGAAGCTTACCATGCTGGATGGTGGAAACTTTGGTCATTGGAAGGCAAAGATGCGACACATAATCAAAGGAATTGATGTGGACGCTTGAACTGCTGTACAAGAAGGTGGTCTCCTTCCACCATGCTTACGGAAAACAAGACAGTAGCGCTGAAACCTAAAGACAGATGGACCACTCAGACAAAGCAGCATCTACTATTCTCAGCTGTTGACTTAGATCACTTCAAGATCATTCAGGGTTGTGAATCAGAAAAGGATTTATAGGATACTCTGATCAATCACTTTGAATGAAATATTAGTGTGTGAAGAACTAAGATTGATCATCTGGCGCCGCGGTTTGAAAAATCTGAGAATGGGAGATGATGATCCAGTCGATGTATTTATATCGAAGATTAGCTAGTTAGTCAGTGAGTCAGCAGTACTTGGTAAGAATTATGAAGAGAAAGACTTGGTGAATAAAATACTGAGATTTCTCCCACCTTGTTTTGAAGCATACAAAGGTGTTCTAAATATCACTGTTGACACTAATAAGATGAAGTTTGATCAACTAGCTGGTATCTTGAAAGTCTGTGATCTAGAAAACAATTGATCAACTGTCAAACGCCTAGAAGAACATTTCTTTCTGCTAAATCTCAAGAAGGTGACAGATTCACAAGGACTGAATATAACCTAGGACTAATGGCTCAAAACTTCAAATAATTTGCTAAGCGAATGGAGAAAGGTGGAAGTCGATCGAATGGACGGTCCAGAAGAATGACGCTGATCGCTCCAATACCAAAAATTCAAGACACAATTCCTCTAAGAGTTCAAGGAAGAAAGAACTTCAGTGTCATGAGTCTGAAGGCTTTGGACACTTCAGAAACAAGTGTCCTCTTGCTAAGAGAAAGGAACTGAAATGCATTAATTGCAATGGCTTTGGAAACACTTGAAGCGAATGTCTTAACAACTTAAAGAAAGACGAATATTTTGTGTGTTTCAGTGATACAAAATCAGAAAGTGACAGTGATGGTGATCGGAAGTTCTAGTAAAGTTTGTGGCATTGGTCAGACATGATAGTGAGCATGAAGCTCAGTCAACTGATTCAGAAATTTAAGAGGATGATGATGATCTCAATTCAGACCTTGAAACTGAATAAAATACACTGTTTGAAAAATTTGTTGAGTTGAGTCATTAGAATCTGCAATTTCTTAAAGACAAAAATGGTGTTAAAAGCTCAAGTAAACATCTTAGAATTGGAACAGCCTACGGTTTAGACTCATGATCACTCTGTGTCAAAGGAATCTGACTTGGAAATACTGTCTCTTAAGAAAGCTTTGGCTGAAAAAATTGGAAATCAGAAGCAATTTGAGATCAAGCTTAATTAGCTGACTAATCAACCGGTTCAAGAGATGGACAAGAGCAAGCTACTTGAGAGTCAACTCACTGAAAATTATAAAAATATGAGGATGATTAATATTGGGTCTGCAACACTTCATCACATTCTATCAGTGGGACAACGTCTGAAAGTCAATTGGGGGCTAGGATATAAAAACGATGCATCTCAGTTTGTTGGAGAACAAATTGTCTTTGTGAAAGAGTCACCAAATCTCAAAGGAGGACACGAAATGTGAATTGATCAAACCCGTCATTGCTGGGACCATTGAAACTGAGAAAAAAGTTGTGTCAAGAAAACGTGGAAATGACAGTCTTTTCTGTGGTAAACGAGGAAGGTTATGTTACTTTTGAAAACATAAGTATGAACGAGCTTGGAGACTAAAACTATGTTTTGTGGAACCTAAAATCTATGGTTATGTTTGGATAGCTAAATGAGATTTGTATCCTAACTACAAAGAACATGCTCAAAAGGTTTCACACGTCGAAACTATTGTGTCACACACTAAAGCAGAACAAAAATTAGTATGTAATCTGGCTCGTATTCAAAAAGATACATATCTGATAAGCAATGTTTCCTACACCAGTGCTGATACCAATAATCAGGTCAAATTTCCTAGGTATTTTGGCAGTGGGTGTTCAAGACATATGACTACATTGAGAAACTTGAACACATTAAGGACAGAAAAATGACATTTGGTAATGGAGGACAAGGTAAAATTAGTGGTGTAGCTGTGGTGGAAAGAGTTGATCTGCCTCATCTCATAAATGTTTATTTCGTGGATGAACTCAAGGCTAATCTCATCAGCGTGAACCAAATCTGTGATAAAGGGCTGGAAGTTATTTTAACTGAAAATTGTGTCGTGCTGTAGACACAAAGGAAAACTTGTTGATGTGTAGGGTTAGATCTGGAAATAACTTTTATATGTGGAACCATCATAAATGTGCTTTTCAGCAATGGAATCAAACTTGATCTCTGACACAAGAAACTAGGCTATATGAATACCAATGGGCTGACCATACTTGTGAATGCTGAAATGGTTAGTGGAGTTCCCGATTTGGAAAAACACACATACGCAATTTTTGGAGCTTGCTGTCAAGGCAAACAAATCAAGGTTCAACACAATCAAACTGCTGAGATCAGGTCTAAGCAAGTAATAGAGTTGGTTCACATTGATCTTATGGTTCATATATCTCTTGAGAGTTTTGTTGGTAAGTGGTGTATATTTTTGATGGTTGATGACTTTTCCAGGTATATTTGAGTTGATTTCTAGCGAAAAAAGTCTGATGCCATTGAAAGATTTCGAATCTTGGCGTTGCAACATAAACAAGAAAAATGTGGAATCATTCAAATTATGAGTGATCATGGCGGTGAGGTCTAGAATGAACAGTTCGATCAGTTCTGCCAAAGCCAGGGGATTCGACATCAGTATGTTTCTCTAAGATCGATTGTGTTCTCATTTTTGTTCAGTATATATGGATATGACAATTTGTGTCAATTAATATAGTCATATATTGTTAGTCATCTCACTTTATGAATTTGTCTTAAACTGACTAGGTTTTCAATTCATCGATTGTCTTTTAGGATCTATAAACATGGTCATATTTCTGACTATAGTTATACATGCGCATGGTCATTCCATATTTACAATAGTATGTACATATAGTTATGTAGTATATAGTAAACAATATCAATTATTTTCTCATTTTTTTCAATATAAATGGATATGACATTATAATTAATCAATATGGTCAGTAGGTATAATATACATTATTATCAAATGTTTAAATTAATATAGTCACATATCGATAGCCATCTCACTTCATGACTATCTTTTAGGACTCGCTTCGTTGATTTTCTTTTAGGACTATACAAATGACTATGTAAATGTGTTAATATGGTCAGATGGTATGGTCAGTATAGGTTCTCCCTTCGTTTAATTTGAAGTTTTAGTATATATGAATGACTATGTAAGGGTATTAATATGGTCAGAGGGTATAGACTAATTAAAATGATATCCCGCTGCCTATAATGATCGTCGAGAAACCGATTAGGTTCTCAATTCGTCAATTGTAGTATATCTTTTATAGTCAATACGATGTCATTTTTTTCCATTACATTTGACCATAGTTATACATGCGCATGGTAATTCCATATTTATATTAGTATGTACATTTGGTCATGTAGTATATAGTATACAATATTGATTATGTTCTCATATTTGGTCAGTATAAATGGATATGCCAATATAATTAATTAATATAGTCAGTAGGTATACAATATGACCACATGTTTAAATTAATGTATTCATATATCGATAGTGATTTCACTTCATGAATTTTTTGGAAACCGATTAGGTTCTTACTTCTTCGATTGTATGTTCTCACTTACATAGTCATTCGTATATACTGAAATTGCCAATTAAAAAAGTGGGAACCTTTACTGACCAAACCCTTTAATACACTTACAACATATAACGAGAGTCATCTATACTATACATACTGACCATACTCCGTATATGCTGACCAAAAAGACAATAGACGAAGTGAAAACCTAATCGGTTTCTCAACGATCACTATAGTGACCATGCCCTCTAACCATATTAATATACTTACATAGTCATTCGTATATACTGAATTGAAAATTAAAGAATTGGAAACCTATACTGACCAGATTCACGAAGTGAGAACCTAATCGAGTTCCTGACAAATTAATGAATATAGAGTCAGTATAAATGGATATGACAATATAATTAACCAATATGGTAAGTAGGTATAATATACAATATGATCATATATCTAAACAAAAGACCTAGAAAATGGACATCAGACAACTCGACGATATCTCCGATAATAATCGTACGAACGCGAAAACATGATGAAAAATTTGGTGAAAGTTTAACTCCACTTTAAAAAGGGTAAATGGAAAAGAGGATAAATTTGAAGTTTCCAAGATAAACACAAATAGGGAAAGATAACCAACCTTGGAGGCATATCAAGGCAAGAAGCAAAGGGACGATTCTTTTAGACTCTTAGAATTCACTGCACTTAGAAACCTTAGGCTTTATTTCCAACAAGTTCGGTTCTATGACTTGCACTCGATTACTAGACGAACTCGCCGAGGCAGTTTAATCTCTTGTTTAACTCTTTTAATTGAACTACGTTCAGCTTGATCCTCGAAAGGGGTACGTAGGCAGCCTTTCATAAGGTCCAGTCCGAAATCTTTAAACCATTTTCGTATTTTTGTCTATTGTTAAGCGAGTTGCGGACACATAAGTTTTTCTCGACATAGGTGGTAGTGCTACCAGATTTAGTCTTGTTTTACTGCCAATGTTGTACGATTTTCTTTTGTAGTCCCGTTTTGAGACATCGTCATGTACTCGTTTGTCTCTGGAATGATCATACGCAAATTTGAAATAAAGTTCTACTGTTTTCTAAATTTATTTTGTTGTCCTTCTATATTTTCCGCATTTATTTGGTTACTTGTCGTTGGCTCTCGCAGAGAATCCGAAAGTTAAGGAAAGTAGGATTTTCTTTGTTTTCTTTGGTTCATAAAAATCAACAGTGTAAATTTTGGTTCCCACAATAACCAACAAAGGATAAACCTCAGACTTAAGAATGTTCTTTCGATTGAGTGATAAAATTTGTGAAGCTGAAAACAAGCCAAGAATTCAAGGTATTCACTTTGAATTGAGTAATATATTTTTTGAAAGTAGATTACATATTAACAATCATATGATATAATAGGTTGTGAGTGATAGCTACAAGAAGAGAAGATGCAAGCAGGTTCCTTATACTTGTAGTCAGAAGGGAATGGTTAGACTAGCAGAAGAGATGGTAAGTATATTTTTTTCTCATTTTTCCTATTAAATGGTTAGTTAAGGATATTGACATACAATTTCCATAGAAAAATGTTCTAAAGACCCATCTCAAGAGACAAGGCTTAAAATATGAGTCAATTCACGTACTAGAAAAGATAGAACTTCTATTAGCAAAAATGCGGATGAGAAGATTGTGAGTTCAAAACATAAATTTACATATTATGATTTTGATTTCTGGTTTGCAATATCACATGCTTATAATGTTCTTCGTTTGTTCTCTGATATAGAGCAAAAGGAAGTTGAGCTTATTAATAGTGCTAATCCATCATATGCTAAAAATAAAGATGGGATACAACCATTCAACTGTTAGAACTTGAAAATCATGGGTGTATGAGAGTAATGGGCAGAAATATGAGTAAGACCCTATTTCTACAATACAATAGAAGCAGGTTGAACTTCATGAAATAGTTAATCATTTAAAGGCTCAACTTGCACAAGTGAAAAAGCAGGTCAAATACTTTTTGTGTTTATACATTGAGATAGTAAGTTACAACATAATAATAAGCTTTATTTGGTTTCTGTTACAAAGAGAAGAAATTGAAGTGGATGAAAACTCGGCTGCAAGAGTAAGTCATCAAATATAAGATCAATGATTTATTTAAAATTTTACACTGTCACATTTTAACTAATGATCATGTAACAGAGTGTGAACAAAAAAACAGAAAAGAGGTATCTTATAGTTGATTGGACTGATAAAGATAACAACGTTGGTGATGGTCAATTTATCTCTTCCGACCCAAACGATTTAGTCAATGACTATCGATTAGGACCTACGGATGTTAAAGTCTTGGTTGATGCTGCTACTGAACCAAAAGCTTTCCTCTGGAGACCTGCGAGAAACATGTGCACGATTGAAGAAGTTGTTGGCTATATTATTGCATGGCCTAAGACTAAATGTGTTGAACAAGGTTAGGGTCTCCAACCGGAAGACATTGCACCACTGGTAAAGTTTTTTTTATTTTTCTCGTATTAGTTAAAATATTGATTAGGCGTTTAATGATATTGTTTTCTCAATGTCTGACAGGGCTCAAGATCGAATTCTATGAACAAATGCAAACTACTGGATTTATCCGATGATAGGGTAGTTGTTGGTGAAGAACATTGGCAGACGCAAGAACCAAAAGCATTGATTAATGGACTTCCCCTCGGACCAAAGGCAATAAAGTCTTTCTGGATGTGTTACCTAAACCTGAAATTTTTTTATGGAGGCCTACGTTGGATGTGGCATAACTTGGCAACTGTTTAATGACTTTTATACCATAGCTTGCTCACAAAGTTGTCTTCGAAAACCCACCAGAAACAACAAGAAAAGTATCTCATACTCCAAAAATTGAATCTGCAGTAGGAAACGCATAATAAATAGGTCTTAAAGTTACATCTCTCAGTTCTAAGTATCCTACTGAAAGAAGTCTACAAAAAGGTGGAAAATCAGGAGCATCAACATCAACAACTACTACAGAGAAGTCTCCCTCAATGTCAGTAACATTTTTTTGCTTAGGTTTTAAAAAAAACTTGTTAGTATTACTGTCTGAGTATTACATGATTTTGTATTGTAAATATGACAGTTAAATGATGGATCCCAAACTATAAAACTGAATAAGAAGTGCAAGTGGATGGGCATCGGTAAGACGAAACAAGTTATTGCTGAAGGTCTTGTGCATTCAACATACCCAAATCAGATAGTCCACTTTGTATGATTGGGTCTAAATGCAGCTAGAGTGTTGGTAGATGATGCAGACATTTGGAGAGAATCTGATGAAATAGAGACCTTGAAAGATGCACGTGGTTCATTTATTGCATGGCTAATTGCTAAATTGGTCCAATTTTAACATGAACAGGTAAGTGTTGTGAATTCTGTTTTCAATCTTTCAGATATATGCAATTGCTAAACTGAACAGAAGTTTTGATTGTAGCAGTTTGGGGAATGAAAACTTTGGTTCAGCCTTATTATAAATTAGGAAAATAAATTTATAATTAACTTATTTTTTAAGACTTTGTTTTGTGTTTTCAGTTGGTGGTGTAAACCTTATAACTTATGTATTAACTACATATTCTATGAATGATTTCGTTGTTGTTTAGGAGGGATGTATTCTGAAAGCAATAATCTACAACAACAGATCATAGCTCAACAAACAAATCAATAATAGCAAAAAAAAAGAAAACGGTTGTTATAGTAGAGTATCACAGTGTATAAAATTACTTATGAGTTAGACAAACAAATCAACAATAGCAAAAAAAAAAAGAGTTATTGTATAATATCATATCATTTAAAATTACCTATGTATTAGACAATCATAACAATCATAACATAGTCTGAAGGTATAACAAAATTTAATATAGGAATTATCAATAGCTATTGTAGAAGGACATATCATAGCTCGAATAATGAATCTTAAACAAATTGTACTAGAAAAAACTGTGTTTAGTTACGTTAATAACTACATTCATTTATTGGTATTGTTTTTGCACATTGTGTAGCATAAAAGAAATGATATCGTAAAAGGGATACTATGATAGCATGACATAGCATAAGAGAAAATACTATGAAAAGTTTATTATAGTGTTTGTCGTGAGCTAAGAATATAGATATTTTTGTAGTAGTGTTTGAAGAATGCTTTCGATTATAGATTATTTGATATTGTATGATTTGGTCACAAGTTTTATAAAGTTCTTTTCTAATTTTCCCGTTTTTAAAAATAGATTGAAATACGTACGCCACATAAATGGATACCTACATTTTGTATCTCTTTATTAACTTACATGAAAAAGGTAAGACATAAACTTTCAAAACAAACCCATAAAACGAAAGAGGAGGCATACGTGAATAAGTCGATGATAAGACATCACATAGAATACATTCAACTGTTATTGCAAAAAAAAACTACAAACTTACCAGATTAGTAAATATATTCAAGACAGAAGCCAGGCGACCAACGCATTTTCCTCGTCATGATCCAATGGTTCTCCAGAGTTTTCGCAATTACCTTTCCCGATTGTGGCCTCATCATCACCGTCCAAAAGCCATGACACCATTGAATCAGAACCCTCTTTCTCATCGCAAATGTTATTGCTAGTCCGTTCTTGCCAAATACAGCCCCAGTCAATAAACTCAGCAGTGAAAACATTGTTGACTTGATGCTCATAGTTGAGAAACGACTCCATCGACGGACAAGACTGAAGGCAGTCGAGATTCTCTTGGTTCAAAATCTCCTTAGACCCTTTGGCTTGTTCAGAGTCTCCTAGATGATTCAACCTCTCATCACCACCACACGATGTGAACATGTGGCTTGGATCTGATTCGTCCAACAAAAGATTAATGATGTCTTCATCAAAAGATGAAACTCCTTTATCGCCATCAATGCTGCTATTATTATTATTGCGACAATCTACTCCTTCATGACAGGCTCCATCGTAGTTGCATGGTCCTAGCTCAGCCTCGGCTCCATTTAACTCCATCATTAATGCTTCTTCTCCTGCCACCCCTTTAACCACTATGTCAGCTTCTGCCTCCGACGGCGCAGACATACTTTTATTAGTCTTTCGTATTTTTTGGTTATGTGTTTCAGGTTTCATGGCGGATCTGCTGGTTCTCCCTGGTCTGCGTTTTGTAAGCTGGTGCGGTGACGCTGGAGGAGCGTTCATGATTACAGCAGGGACGTCGTGAGAGATGGATGGCTTTCTGATGATGAAGTTGTGGAGTTTACGGCGGAGATGAGAATTCCAATAATTTTTTATTTCGTTGTCTGTTCTCCCTGGTAGATGACTCGCAATTAATGACCACCTACATTGATTAAGATTAAATTAAAAAAAACTACACTTTATTAAAATAACTTTGAACAACAATATTTTCCGGGGAATAAGATAACTTTGTGGCCAGTTGCAAATCAGTAGAACGGTGTGGCCAGAACAGTTTTAAATATTCCTTTTGTTTCAAAATGTTTCATGTTCTACTATTTTAAATTTATTAAGTAAATTTATTAAGTTTAAGTTATCAATGCACACTTTTTTGTAATTAACAATTTCCTATAACTTTTAACCAATAAAATCTTAAGAAATACAATTATGTTTTTCAAATTTACAATTTACCATTAATAAATACATAAAGATATAAAAAATGTATCTTTTTAAAATCAATTTTTTTCTAGAACCTGGATCTATTTGAAACCGGGGGGGGGGGGGGAATAAGATTTTGCTACGCCCTTATGCTGCCCACCTAACCATGCTTCTAGAAATATAATTAATTATAAATTACAACAATAGAATATACAAGACATCGCTCGAAATCGATACTTTTATGAAGTGATTTTTTTGCAAATGGTTAATATCGTTGTTATCCTTAATAAATGAAATATATAATTTATTTTATAATTAAAAACAAAGTTATAATAATAATATTATATTTATTGTTATATTAGATAATTGATTATAAGTTAATATGATAACTGTAAAAATAAATACATATATAAATTGTAAGATAATTTTATTGAGACTGTATTATTATCTGAAAATAATATTTTTCTATCACAACAATTTTAATAATAAGATATTAAAAGTTTTATAATCAGATATTAATATAAAAATTGTATAAATATATTTTCTAAAATATTTCTCATATATGGGTGTTTTCAACACAATAATAAGAATATATATTTTACTTAAATTTTTCTTATACAAATTCAATGTTTGATTTAAATTTTGCAAACATAAAAAATAATTTATCATGTTATTTTGAATTAATAATACATAAGATACTAAATCTCAGTAAAAAGATTATATCCGCATGTGTGGATAGAACACTTAGTATGTTAATAGCGGTGACAGTGACTCAAATAAATTTTTGATTTGATTTGCTTAACTATTCAGATATATTTTTAAGGATCTAAGTAGTAGCCGTGGATTTGATATTATAAGTGGTGGAGAATTTAAATGCAGTATAGTGCAACTGTGATTCATACGGTTTGAGGACTGAGTGAAATTTTGACAGAATAAACGGTGCAGAATTTTGTTTGACTGAGAAACTTTTATTTGCGGTTTTTTAGACAATCTTAAAATCAAAAATTGATTTTGTTTATTGGTTTACAATTTTATTATTTTAATATAAATTAGAAACCAAGTTTTGGTACTGAACCAAATCACCTGTTTTGACGTGTGTAACTATTTTTTATTATTTTTATTTTCATTTAGTTAAATATGTTCTTAAAACAATTTGTAATTGAATAGAATAACGAGTCAAGCTTCAACTGCAGTTCGATTTAATTTCAAAACACTAATTAAAATAAATATAATTAGTATTTTAAATATAAAGTTATATATATAATATAGAAATAAATAAATATTTGATTAAAAATTTAGTGGATTATTGCATTTTTAGTTAAAATATTTTTTGATTAAAATTATTTGATTTTTCAGAAGGAAAAATACTAATTTTGAAGGTATTATAATTGTAAAAGCTTGTTTTATTAATTTTTAAAAGTGTATTTTGCTTTTACAAAAACACCTAATCTACGTACCACTTCAAACAAAACAAGTGGCGGAACTACTATATAGAGCGGGTTTTACGTTTTCTTCACAAAATTAAAGAACACACTTGTAGTCATTAATTAGAGAACACACTTATTGTTTCATTTTTAGCTAGGTGTCTTGTCTACATATGCGAACTTAATTATCTTTAAGTCAATTTAAAAAATTATCAAAATAAATAATTATTTTCATTCAAAAAATTTGACCTAAAACATTAAACGTTTTTACATGATAAAGTTATTTATAAATTAAAAAGATCTATTTTTCCTTTAAAACTTTGAAAAAAATCTAAAATCTAAAATCTAAAATCTAGTTAATTTCTTCATTAATTGATAAAAAATATAGAAACATATCTTTCAATTTGATAAATTGAATCGATAAATATACATTCAAAAATTAATCTTACAGAAAGGATAATATTAGTTCGGATAATAATACAATATATTTGAATTTATTTTTGTCAAACATGTATTTTCTTTCTTTTTGAATGATATTTTATTTAATTATGATTAATTCATGTTTAATGTTTAACTATATAAAATATAAAAATAAATTTAACTTAACGTGTGAGTTCAGAGGTGAAAAATAACTTCACAAATATGTATCATTATATTATATTATTATATTCTTTTAATTTGAAAATAACTACGTATTATAAACTTTTCAATTTTCTCATTTCAATTATATACAATTAAAAATTTATTTTATGAATATTTCTTTATGTATTTTCTGTTTCTGATTTTTTATTAAAATATATTTTTCGGATAACAACACAATATATATAGGAATTAGCTTTTTTACTTTTAAATATATATTTAGATTATAGATAATTCTTATCATTATTATTAATTTAAATTATTTAACTAATCAAATAAATATCAAATTCGTTTTTATTTTTTGGCTGATTTATATATTTTATTCATTAAAAGTATAAACGATATTATATATTTTATTCATTAAAAATATAAACGATATTAACCATTCTAACTTTTAATGTGAGAGCTCGATTACAAAAAAATCACTTCACAAATAATAGTATAGATTAAAAAAATCAATAAAACACATCATTCTAGCAATTCTTGTTGATTGATGACACCACTACAGAACTTCCCGCAAGGGTTAAACCACCGTTCCCATTCATAACCTAAGAATTTTAAATATTTCAACTTATATATAATATATTGCATGGATATGAATATGTTAGAGCACCTTTATTGAAAGGACGAAGATGAATATTTACAAACAAATAAATCATAAACAATAAAAAATTAGTGGAGAGGAAGACAAGATGAATTTCAAGATGTGACTGAGAATGTTTTACATCTCATTTTTTCAATTAGTGTTTTTTTATTGGTTTGATAATTTTTTTAAAAAATAAAATAAATTAGATAAAAGTTACGCTAAAAATTGATAAAAAAAAGGAAGAGAACCTCTTATGGTACTATTACTAATAAAGTTACTCTTAGATTCTTTTAGAACATCTTTAACGGAGGTGTTTACCCTCGGTTTCCGCTCCAAAAAGTCCAAAAAAAATCAAACACCCTTACTTATGTTGCCTCCATAAGCATCTTATTTTTTTTGAGTTGCTTGCCCTATTCCACGGGCGCGATTGGTCTTTTTCTATTTTTTTTTTTAAGTCTGAAAACAGCAAAAAAAGAAAAAAAGCACTCCAAAATAGGAGCTTGGGTTGGTGGTGCTCTTAGTGTGCATGCAAATATGAAATGTACATTTATTGGAAAGTACGTGATGTTTGCCTCAGCACAAAAGAGAATAGTCTGACAACTAAGAGTTATAGAAAGCATAAAGAGCACACTGAACATTTTATTTTACCACCATAACTTTTTTTTAAATCATGATTAACCTGAGATTCTTAAGATGAAGTTCTTAGCAGATTAATCATATTCTTAGTATCTACTGTAATTTCTAAATCCCCCATTAATCTCAGATTTATTCAAGAGGAAAAATGTTCACAAATAATTTTTTTGGTGAAAATGTTCACAAATAATTTGTTAAACTAAGAGAGTGAATATAACATTAAGCCTTGCTTATTTGACGGATCGATTTGCAATCATTATTAATAATATGTGCACATAAATCATTGTCCGAAAATAAGTTGGAATTTTTGAAATAGAATTAAGTAAGAATTGTACGAACCTGTTTCCCAAAGTGGAGTGCAATTTAACAACGAGTTCTTCTTCTTCTGGAGTTATGTTCCCACGCTTGAGATCTGTTCTAAGATAATTTATCCATCTCAATCTGCAGCTCTTTCCACACCTTTTTAATCCTTGTTACAATTAAATAACAAAGTAATAATACACGTCAGATTTTACAAGTATAAGTAAACAACGAAGATTATATATGTTTATTTGTTTTTATTACACATTTTTTTGTTTCTTTTGAAATATGTATGTATTTTTATGGGGTCTGATATATGACTGCTCACGAGATTTTTATAATTCTGATCACTGTATTCATATTATCATATGCATACACAACTACAAAATAGCTCAACTACTGCATTGATTAGTATTGTATTCAAAGAGGAATTGGAAATCAAATCAAAAATAGTCATATCATTTTGATTTATTCTTGAAATGATATACAACCGACAAAATATATACATAAGCATCAGTTTGTATTTCCTTATAAACGTTATATAGTCCGTAATAATACTCCAATTATACGTACACTCACAGCCCACCTCGATTGTGACACTGACAAATTATAAGCAAAAAAGAAAGAAATGAAACTGAGACGAGATTAGGGGTGAGATTAAACTTCGAACCTTACTAAATTTTCAACATATAATTAAACCAAACTAACTAAGCATCCATGATTCACGAAGATCATGTCAAGGGCTAGCTAGGATTAATTACTTCACTTCTCTCTCTCACACAGCATCAGTACTTTGAAATAATGTGTAAAAATATTACTAATATTACCGGCATTTTTGGGGAGTGATCTCCAAGAGCCTTCACCGTTGGACTGAACGTAGCTGGAGAGAATCTGGTCTTCCTCAGCCGTCCACCGCCCTCTCTTTATCCCGACCTTCTCGCAACACGGCGCTCTTCCCATGTTTCTCCGGCGTTATATATGTATTTATTATGTTCTCACTGACCACTAGAGTCACTGGAGATAGAGAGAAAGAGTGTGTGTGCGCAAGTGAGAGGACAAAAAAGAGAAGTTACTGAGTGACTAGACAACATCAAGTAAAAATGACTGATTCAGTATTCATAGCGGACGATGGACACTTGATTAAAAAGATTACTAAGCGCGTTCGAGGGAAATGACATGGTGACACGTGTATGGCGCATGATGTGCCACGTTTACTAGAAGGAGACTGAAGTCGTGGCGTATTCACCGTCAAGAGACTCGTGATCGGTCCGTGCAGGATCGTCGTGGTTCTCTTAATTAGACGTTAATTTTAGGATCATTGACGTAATGTTTTCTTCTTCAAATGATAAGTTTGTTAATCAGATATTATATTATGACATAGTTCTTATCAAATGGTCCCTTTAACAAAACAAGAAGGTTATTAATGGTCACGTGAATACGTAGATCACATAGTAATCGCATATTTTGTATATTTATATAAATATCCGGATCTTCGCATGTTCACCTGATGGTCTTTGACTCTTTTCTTGAGTTACAAAACACACGTAAGCTTACATTAGCGATATATATATTTTTTTTTGTAACGATATATATTTCATTAGGCTATATTTCATATCAAAATTACGAGAGCAATTAAAGGATGTGCACTCACGAAATTTCCTTATATCTGTTGTTTTTCTTAACCACTCCATTCGTCTTTATATATTTTCTCACGTAGAACCATAAATTAGCTTTGGTCTGTATATATATATATATATATATATATATATATATATATATATATATATATACACGTACACTAAGATAAAATGTAGTTTGCTATGTTTGGTCCTAATCAAGATAGACGATCATATCGAGTTAAACAGGTTAATATATACATGCAAACAGCCTAATGAAAATGTATCGTCGGCCATATACTTTATATTGAACTACCAATTATATTCGACGGATTCTTTATGGGATCACTGGAGAATTAAATTTGACGAGTTTCCGTTTCTATAACATCATATAAGAAAACATAAGGACAACCATCAACCATCAACATATGTTTCTCAGTTACTGCTCATCTAACTACATGTTCCCCACATGTCATTTATTTGCCGTAGTGCTGGCACTTCCGTTCATTGTAGTCTTAAGGACTAGTTGAGAAAGACCACTTAATACTATTCTATTCATTTTTTTCTAACATCAAACTATTTTTGAAAAAAAAAACAAATATTATTGGAGGACCCAATACCGTACGGTTCGATACATATATGTATATCTATTTGTGAAAAATTTTCACTTAAAACATTTATATTCAATTATTCATTGATTTAGATCACAGTTACAGAATTTCAAACTATAATTCTTTAATTGGTTTTCTGCTACTAGTACAACATCAACAAATGAGTTGATATTTTCATATTAGGGCTGAGACAGATCCTGATATCCGGGGATTTTGGAGTATCCGGATCCGGTGTCGGATCCGTGATTTTAGTATCCAGATTTGCATACAGATCGTCCGAGTATTCGGGTCTCAGATATCCGTCTAGAAGTTGCAATATCCGCGGATATCCGGATTCGGATCCAAATTCGTAAAAATAATTAAAAATAAATAAAAATATTTAAAAATACATAAAATTTTAAAATAATAGACAAATTAAATATTTATACCAAATTCTGAATATATATATGACATATAAAATTATTAAAAGTAAAATATAATATTATAAGATTAATTATACGTATAAATATTAATATAATTATTAATAAAATTTAAAATTTATTATAATTTAAAAAGACGGATTCGGATCTGGATATCCAGACCTAAAAATTAAGATATCCGGACTCTGATCCGGTTTGGACGGATCCGAGATTTTACTATCCAGATTCGGATCCGGACGCCCCGGATATCCTATTTTCGGAGCAGATCCGAAGCGGATCTCGGATCGGATCCGAATCCCGGATAATAAGTCTCAGCCCTATTTCATATCAACTTGTGATAAATATAAAGAGTATTTTTCTTTGTTCAACGAGTATAAAGAGTAAAATCAATGGATAAATAGAAAAAAATTATTTTAATAAAGTTATCAAAACTGCTATGAATCATCCGTCAAACTTTTATAGAGTCTCTTCACATGAACAAGCAGAAGAGGATGACGATCTGGTTATCCTGCTAAACATAGACAATTCTGAGCTAATCTCATAGTTTAAACTCAGTCATCTAAGGCGTATCTTTAATATGGTAAGACATAATGTTGAGACCCTCTTCTGGCTTCTCTCTCGTCTTAGTATATGGGATGTGGAGGGAAGAGTTAGAAGCATGGATCTTGGAAATCATAGCTTCCAGTTTGATTTTGATTCAGAGACTGACTTTCTTAAACTATTAACCAAGAGGCTATGTCATTTTAACAAATGGGCCATCTCCTTGGAACGATGGAGTCATACGTCAGAGATACCTTCTCCAACACAATGACTTTTTAGATCAGTGTCATTGGCATCCCAACTCATTTCTGGATGGAATCCATCTTCGAATCTTTGGGAGGAAGACTAGAGACTGTGTGATATATTGAAGATAGAACTGCCAAAGTAGAAGTTGAAATTAACATGAACCGACCACTGAAGTTTTTCCTTCGAGATCAGTTACCTTCAGGTGAGATCGTTCCAGTAAAACTTGTTTACTCTAACCTCCATCGTCACTACAGGCACTGTCGTCTTGTATCTCATGAGCTTGAATCTTGTCCACAACTTACCGAAGCTGAAAGAGTAGAGAAATTAGCAAGCTTCGAAGAAGCCAGAGACCATGCAAACTCCTATAGATTTGATGCTCATAAGTTTGGAGAAAACTCAAAAATGCTCAATACCTCAATCCTTCAAGGATAAATGCAGTGGGGAGGGTACTCAAACGGATACTCGGGATATCATTTAGAAACACATTGACTCCCGGTATGATCTATGAGGTGACCCTTACCCATCGACCCGATACGATCAACAACAGGTGAAGAAGCCTAATGATCGTGAACGATCATCTCCTTCTTGAGATTCATACAATAAACGAAGATATGATGAGGCTTTTCTTTCAAGTAAACAAAGAGAGGCTTCACGCAGGGATAAAGACAAAGGATATGGCAGAGAATCACCTAACATAAAGGTCACCTGAGACCTGAACAAGGATGCTGCTCGCAAACCAAACTCTGATGCGACAGCTTTTCCTCATCAACCAATGTCTATTCCCTCATTTTCTCCACCCATACAAGCTACTACCTCTCCAGAGCTCAACATGGAGAGACCTTTCAGGTTAAATTTCCAAGAAAAAGCTCTATCAGCCCTGAAACTCAAAGGAAAAATCTTAGAAACTGATGTAGATTCAGAGGAAGGAAGTTCAGCTAAGAAAAACTTAACCTTTGAAGTTACCTCAGATCCACCTTCTGTTACTCTTCCTGCAATTCCGTTCCAGGGTTCATCATTAAAAGAAAACCCTAAAAGTTGGTATGAAATGACCTTAGAAGCGGAAGAAGTAAGGTGGAAAAAGAGATGATTTCTAAAGAGCAGCAACAGATTCCAAATGACATTGTCAAAAGTGATTTACCTCCCACTGAAACAATCCTTGAAGAAGAAGACTGGTTGGATGATGGGAATAATTTTGGTGATGTAGATTGAAACGATTTTGGAGAGGAAGATACAGACTTGATGGAGGAGGATGGCCTATTTGGAGAGGAGCTTTAGACTGAGGAAGTCAAGCGATATACAATAGATATTTCTAGAATAAAAAATCCACTACGGAGGATGTTGTCACTATTAAATATGGATCAAACTCGTGTGAGATGGCAAGCGAGATCGTTGATACAAAGGTTAGAGCGCCCCAGAAAGTGACTGGCTCCCCTGCAAATCGTGGCTCTCCTCCATCGACGAAGAAAAAGAAAGGAGTGCGTAGCCCTACGACAATTGGCATACTGCTGAGAAAGCGTAATCTGATGGCAAGGCTTGGGTCTCCTAGGAATTCTGGAGTAGGATATGGGCAGAGAGAACTAAAATCATGCCAGTTAGGCCCGTCTCTATCAGTGGACCGGAAAAAAAGCCCAAGGGGCAGCAACACACAAGACAAACAGGTGGCGAGTGGCAGGCCACTGAAAGCCCTATGATGAATACTATCGCTTGGAATTGTCAAGGAGCTGGTGCTTCTTTGACAAAGGAACACATCAATGAACTCTATCATTGTTTTCTACCTAGGTTTTTATTTTCATCGGAGACAAAAAAATCGATCCTTTTAGCAAGACGTGCAAGTTATTTTGTGGTTACGATCCATGTGGTTGTAGCGGGGGTTTAACGCTTTTTACATAGACGATGCAGCTGTTTCTATTTTTCATGCGGATAAACATATGATTGATATCGAGTCTACTTTTGAAAGACATGTTAACACGTATGAGTTTAAACCGGAACCAAGCTTGGTTTATGATTGGTGACTCAACGAGATTGCGGTAATCATGAAAAGAGAGGCAGAAGGATAAGACCAGAAACACACATTCGTCCCTTTTCACACCATGTTGGATAACTGCAGAATGATAGGATTCCCATATAAAGGAAATTCTTTCTCGTGGGTGGGAAAAAGACGCTCGGGAAAAGTAAAATTTAAAATAGACAGAGCAGTTGCAAATGAAGAATGACACTCGCTCTTTCCGGCTACAAATGTGGAGTTTTTACATCTTTGGGGATCGGACCATAGATCGGTGTTAATACGTATACAATCTATATACATGAGATCGATAAAAAGTTTTAGATTTGATTAAAGATGCCTGGGGAGACCCGAATTTAGAGAGGCAATCATCTCAGGTTGGGACCCTTTCAGTGAAGCCCACGATACTGATTTTCATCATAAAGTGGCCTCTTGCAGACGAAACATAATCTCCTAAAAAAAGAATAACCCGAAAAATTCGGCAAGACTGATTGAGGAGCTGAAAAATAAGATTGACCTAGTCCAAGAGAATGATCTATACTCTTTAGGAACTAGAAGACCTCAGATCCCAAATTATCAACACTTTTATAGAAGAGGATCAATATTAGCAGCAGGAAAGTAGGACTAAATGGCATCGAGCAGGGGACAAAAACACAAAATTCCACCATACGACTACAAAACAAGGCGAGCGAGAAATATAGTCACTTGCATCAAAGACAAAGAGGGCAGGATGGTTGAGAGAAATTTTGGAATAGAAACAGTGGCTGTTGACTATTTCCAAGAACGCTTCTCTACATCTGTATCTACGGACATGGATACTTCTCTTCGCTACATACAAAAAATAGTTCCAGCATCCGCAAATGATTTTCTAACAGCAGAACCGACAGAGTAGGAAATAAAAAAGCCCTCTTTTGATATTTATCCGGATAAAGTTCCAGGTCTGGATGGCATGACAAGTAGATTTTTTTAGAGATTTTGGCATGTTATGCAAAAATGTATTATCCGACTAGTGAAATATTTCTTTATTGATGGATGCTTTGACTCGAGAATCAACCAAACCAACATTTGTTTGATCCGGAAGAAGGAGAGACCAAGGGAAATGACTGATTTTCGTCCCATTAGTCTCTGCATTGTCAATTACAAGATCATCTCCAAACTGTTATCTAAGCGGCTCAAGAGGTTTCTCCCTAACCTGATTTCAGAAACCCAATCGGCTTTTGTAGCACGCCGGTTGATCACTAATAACATTTTGCTAGCGCAAGAGAATTTCAATGCTCTTCGGACTAATACCAGAGCTTGAGAAGCATTCATGGCCGTCAAGACATACATGAGCAAAGCATACGATAGGGTTGAATGGAGTTTTATTCGAACCTTGATGCTTCGCTTGGGTTTTATGGAAATATTGGTTGATCTTTTGATGTTTGTGTCACATCGGTATCCTACCAAGTGATCATTAATGGAGAACCCAAGGGAAAAATCACACCCTCGAGAGCGTTAAGGCAGGGTGATCCACTATCCCCATTCCTCTTCATATTGTGCACTGAAGCTCTGATCTTCCTCCTTCAAGGAGCGGAGGAGGAGAAGCGCATTCTAGGACTTCGTGTTGCCCATGCCAGCCTCAGGATCTCACATCTCCTATTTGCGGATGATAGCCTATTTTATTGCAAGGCAATAGAGAGACAATACAAGAAAATTTTAGATATCTTCGAATCTTATGGAAAGGCGTCGGGATAACAACTTAATGCGTCAAAGTCTTCCATCACTTTTGGAAATAAGGTCGACCATAACGTTAAGCAAGATATTAAACGTGCTTTTGGGATTACTAACAAAGGAGAGATTGGCAAATACCTCGGACCGCCGTACCAAATGTGTGGCTTAAAGATGAAAGTGTTCTCCTGTGTACATGATTGCCTCAATGGATGTGTCACCTCGTGGTCGGCTATATTACTTTCGAAAGGGGGTAATAGGTCCAACTAAAATCAGTGGCATAAGCTGTTCCGACATTTAGTATGTCGTGTTACTTGCTTCAACAGGGTTGTATGGAGAAAATGAAGAGTGCTAGCTATCTCAAATTTTTGGTGGAGCTCGAGCCAAAATAACCAAGGATTACATTAGATTGCTTGGGAGGAGATGTGTGTTCCACATGATCATGGTGGACTTGGGTTCTTAGACTTAGATGATTTTAATATTGCTTTATTAGCAAAACAGCTGTGGAGATTAATATAGTTGCCAAACTTCCTACTTGCCCAATTTTAAGGAAAATATACTATAATCGATCGAGTCCTTTGGAAGACCGTAAAGTTTACTCAACTTCCTATGGCTGGCGTAGTATTATGGCATCAAAACCTCTATTAAGATCAGGAATACGAAAGAATATAAGAGCATGCCTTAATACATGTGTTTGGACCGAGCTCTAGATATCATACACTCATGCTCGCCCACCAAGACCGTCGGATCGTGTTACTTATATACACCCAAAGTTCCTTGTTCACTCCTTTATCAGGAAATATGCAAGGGATTGACATACTAGCCTATTGTTGGAATATTTTCATCCTGAGGAAATCGCGCTAATCCTAAAACTTCGACCAACCAATACATGGTCTATGGATGGGTATGCGTGGAACTATACAAAGTGAGGAGTTTACTCGGTAAAATCATGATATAACCAGTTTACAGTTAATTAAAGTGGGCGATACAAAAACTCAGATTGTACAACCAAGTAATCCTGAGGATATCGCACTAATCCTCAAACTTCGACCAAGCAATACATCTATGGATGGGTATGCGTGGAACTATACAAAGTGAGTATTTTACTCGGTAAAATCATGATATAACTAGTTTACAGTTAATTAAAGTGGGTGATACAGAAGCTCATATTGTACAACCAAGTATCACTGATTTGCAGAGCCATGTGTGGAGTATCTACGCTCCTGGAAATATGAGACATTGTATGTGGCAAGCTTTGATAGGATGTATTGCAACAATCGAGAGACTCGCTTATAGACACCTAGGTACTGATAGGAGCTGTCTAATATGCGGTGACCCTGAGGAAACCATTAACCATATTCTTTTCGAAAGTCTTCCCCCCACCTTTCAGGTGTGGGCTTTATCGGACTATTCGTCTCTTCCGGATTATTTCCAGAATACTTATGTTTATCAAAACATGAACTTTTTCTTTTGGGAGAAGAAAAAATGGCCTATATGGAACCACTTGTTGAGACCTTCCCATAGATCCTATCATACATTTGGAAGGCACATAATGACAAAATTTTCAACGGAAATGATATATCACTATTAAACACTCTTAAACTAGCTGCCATTGAAGTCGGGTGTTGTAGGAAAGCAAAGTTACCTTAGGAAGAAGAGGAGGAGGTGACCCTATCTGCTCCGTTGGGTGTTAGAGGAAAGAAAATTTATCTAAAGACGAAGAGGAGGAGGTGACCCTATCTGCTCCCGTCGGTTAGCTCGACTTTCCCTGTGAACCCCCAATGCCCAACCTGTCAAATCAATGCATCATGGATCGATAATGGCATGGTCAGTGGTTTGGGATGGTTCTATAAAGATCAAATGAGAGTTGAGAGATTTGGACTACAAGAATGTCGAAAGAGCCTATCAACACTTCATGCCGAGATGGAAGGACTCATTTTGAACGATGTCTTGCTAAAGAGAGTTTCATTGTACTGCGGTTCACATGGAGACGGATTGTTTCAATTTAGTGGACATGATAGACAGCCCTACAGACTGGCCGGCCTTTGCTTCCGAGCTAGTTTCTTTCCGTCTTCTTAAAGATGGTTTCTCGGTTTCCAGTACTCTCGCATTTTCAGGACTAGGAATCTGCATGCGGATTCCCTTGCTAAGAAAGTAAGAAATAGTGGTACTTTTTTTTCATATGGATCAGATCCAGTCGAACAGAGTGTCTTTCGTCTCTTCGGAACGACTCGCTACCACTTAATCTTAGAAGATGAGAGCCGACAAAAAAAAAACGATCCATACTAGAACTAAAAAGACCAACTTTTGACCAAACTTAAACTAAGACTAAAAAGACCAACTTCTGACCAACTTTTTATTATTGTAATATTTATTTGATAAGAAAAGACTATGGTTTCAACAGTATTTTAGTTGTAAAAGTCCAATCCTAGTAAGAAAGATAGAGATTTGTATCAAGCATGCATTGCTGTATAATATTTTTAAATTATAGTTGCAACCTTTTAAATAATGGTTGAAATCGAATCAATGTCCAATGCGGGTTTGAGGTTCCGAATGGTAAAAGCAGTTCAAGCAGGACATATCAAGCAGATCATGCTGATCAAGCAGGACAAGTGCAGATCAAGCGGATCATGCAAGAGAGATGCAGATCAAGCATAACAAGTTATTTTAGAAGTTATGAATGGTAAAAGCAGTTCAAAAATGCAGATCATGTATTTTAATAACAAAAGTTACTCCAAAATATCAAAATACATAATGAAAAAATACATAAACAAAAGTAAAATAATTTAATGATTTGCCCATAACATATCTGCGATGTTGTCTCTAATGTTCATCATATGATTTCCATCAGCCATATTTGTTGTCTCCAAATCACGAGGATCACTTTCAGAATCTTCGTTGCTGAAATTTGTGTCTCTCATTATTTCAAAAAAATCCTCATCGGAATAATTTGAAATTCTGATGAAATTGTGTAGTCCCATTGTAGCAGTTACCACCCTTTTTTGAACTGCAATATCATATCTGGGAAAATCACTCAGAATCCTCTATATCTTCTTTCAAAATCCAAATGTCCTTTCAATAACAGAACATAGAGATGTATGACATCGATTAAACAACTCTTGTTTATTCTTAGGAGGAGGACCGTTGTTGAAATGAGACATGTGATACCTAATAACCCCATTCCGAGAAGATCTATAGGGAGCCAAAAAACCTCGCTTATTTGGATATCCAGAATCTACTACATAGTACTTATCTGGTGGAGGCAAAGGAAAATCAGAATCACTGTCTTGTGCCATCGTGAGAACTGCTGTATCGTGACAAGATCCAGGTGCTCCATTCCAAACATATGTAAACAACATATTTAGATCACATATTTCCATGATATTAAACGTTGTCCTATCATGTCGATCCCAGTACATTCCTTGTAGTTCAAGCTTCACTTTAACACATACATGAACTCCATCCATAGCTCCAACAAATCCACTAAAATATGGCCAATACATTCTGTCTGTTTGCAGTCTTTCAGGAATTCGAAGTAGTTCTTGTCTTGTTGGAGTCTTGACATAATCACAAGCAAGTAACTCCGTCGCTCTAAGAACTTCAAAAAACTTTCTATTCACTGTCTCTTGTGTCCGTCCAAACCATAACCCAACATCTCTTTGAACTTCATTATGCCCACAAATTTGCAAAAACATTGCTACACTCTCTTCGATCCTAACATTCAGCGTAGGATGCAGACCATATTTTGATTGCAATATGCCACAAAGAGATCTAAAAGCATCCAGAGACATTCGTAGTAACTGAAGACATGCAGCAGCATCTACTTGTAATCGACCCCAAATATTTCTCCACCCTAAACCGCCACCGGTTTGAACTAGTCCTCTTTCAAAATAACGATTGTAATAACTCAGTGATGGTTGAATTATTAACTCTTCAAATTGCTCATTTTCCAGATTCCATAACTCAATTCTCTCATCATGAGTTAGACTTTGGGGATTTTGTGATCGCAATAGACATATATGCAAAGCCTGAAATTTTTTTTTATCACAAAATAAAGACTTAATCAATGAAAAGTACCATTAATCAAAATATAATACAATAACAGAAATTACAATAATATAATTTGAAACAAAACATAACCATTACTAACAAAACACAAATCTTATTAAACTAGTTATCTGATGTGGAATCATTTTCATGTGTTTCATTTAGATTTAGTTCTCGTTCAGATCCCCATATGTTGAATAACCCTCCTCTTCTTGGACGTGATGTTTTACTTGTAGAAACATAGTTTCTGAAACCAAATTCTGGTGATACTCCTCTGGAAACATTCTCAGAAACATGATCTTCCTTTTCATTTGTTGTAGTTCGTACTTCTGTTTCTAGAGAAAATCCACATTGAACATTGCTCGGAGGAATATATTGTGGAGCATCTTGTGATGAACCCCATTGATAAGTGGTTGGTGATGAACCCCATTGTGGAACAGCAGATGTAGGACCCCATTGTTGAGTATTTAGTGATGAACCCCATTGTTGACTATTTGGTGATGAACCCCATTTTGAGAATTTTGAGGTGCACTCCATTGTGGAACATGTTGTGTACAACACTGCGGAGCATTTGTGGATGAACTCCATTGCGGAGCATTTGGCGGTGTACCCCATTGTGAAGCATTTAGTGGTGTAACCCATTGCTGAGGATTTGAAGATGAACCCCATTGCATGCATTTGGCGGTGTTCCCCATTGTGGTGCAGCTGGAGGTGTACCCCATTGTGGTTGGTTTGGTGGTGTTCCCCATTGTTGAAAACCAGAACTCCATTGCCCACAAGTTGGACTACCAAACTTTTGCCCAGATTCTAACCGCTTTCCCACATATTCGCTGTCCCGCGTATATCTAGTAAGAGCTTGTAAAAACTTCAATTTTTCTTCTGTGTTTCTTTCCGCTCTGTCAATAAAGCACTTGCGCCAAAATCTTTCTTCTTTGAATGCATGAATGCATGCCCAATAGAAATTGGTGTCATTTGATAGCCCCATTGATTCGAATATCTTCATAGCGGTATCGAATTCATTGTAATCATCTTTGTCGAAAGAATTTGGACGCAGTTGTTGTAAACTTCGGCGTTAAAACTCTCTAAAGCCAGTCATTGTATCTGTCAGAGTTGTCTCGAATGATTGTTTTCTTCGACTTCCTTGGGATCCACTTCTGACAGAGGTCCGAGAATTTCCTGCACTTCTTTGTGAACTACTTCCATGCCTTAGTCTACTTCGTTGTTGAGCTCTTGAAGTAGGAATCTGAAAAGGGTCAGCAGTAGGTGAAGAATTCTGAGGGAAGAAATCATTTGAAGGACGCATTTCATCATCAATATCAACACGATAGACTTCTTCATTTTCTTGTGTTTCAGGAACCTGAGTGTGTTGCATATCACCACCATATGTTTCAGAGTAAAAGTGACCTTCATCATTGTTTTGACCATCATTCATCAACTCTTCTCTTCTTTGGTGCAAAGAGTATTGAGATTGTGACTGGACGTCATATAAAATGAAACATCGTTGCATCACATCCCAATGCTCCGGCGGCTTTCGTTTAAATGATTTTACAATCCTGTCTACGTGTTAATAGAATTGTATTGGTTTTAGACCACAAATATTATAGATTTGGTCATTTATTAAACTTATGCTGGTTTTATAAGATTTTAATGTACTTACTTCACGATCCTTCCACCATGAATCAGACGCAGATATCACAGATGTCGTGGGATCAACCGAAATGCCCGTAGAATTTTTCATAAGATGCTTGTACTTCTTGTATTTTCTTTTTAGTTGATCAAGCTTTTCTTTGAAGAACCGGTAGTTTACGTTACTATTAAACATTTGGTTGAACTTATCAGCGAGAAACTCTTTACCAGCGAGTGTAGGATCTTTGAAATGGTAATCACCCATGACAATTGCTCGATCGTACAACTCAATAAACACTCGTTCTCGGTTAGGATTCCATCTAAAATTGTCTTCCCTCTATTTTTTAAAAAAAGAATACAATCATTTGACTTTACTATTAATTATTCTATAATATTTAAAAATTTATCAAGCACTTACCCGTACTGACGTTTCTGTAGGTAAATTCACATCTTTTTCATCGGAAAATGTTATATTTTGTCGGCGATTTGACGTCATATCTATAATTTTAAAATAACTAATATTAGTTTGGTTGATTAAATGTAATCCAATCTTTATTATTTGGTTGATTACAAAAGAAATCAAAGTAATTTCTAAATTATTATTGAATACTTTTTTCTAATATTTATAGTATAGTTTTCTTAAATAAATATTTTCTAACATGTATATATTTTTTATTTTAATTAAATTAAAGTGTAACACATATCTTATTCCATATGATACATCTATAAAGTAGTATTCTAATAATTTACATGTATATGGTATACATATAATTTCGAAATAATTATTAAAGTTTATTTCAATACTTATATTATACTGTTTTTGTTAAATAATTATGCATATATATATATATATATTTATATATGTGTGTGTATATGTAAATAAATTAATTTTTACTTCTGTTTTACACTAATTATATAAATATTTTATACTAAATGTATATTTTTTGGAAATATTTATATATATACATTGGTTTTTTACTTGTATGAATTAAAATGTTACATATTTTCTACTTTCAGTTCATACATCTATCTACCTTATAATATAAATATATATTTACATGCATTTATTATAGGTAAAATTATAAAATACACTAAAGATATAAGATTTTTAATTAACTATTCTATATTTATAATTACTACTGTATAGTATATAAATAAAATAAAAAGAACTAACTGGAAAAACTTAGTTGACGAATTAAATATTTTCTTCTTCTAACTTATAAATTTAATGTGCAATTAGACTAATTTCTATAGATATTTTTTACCATATAAATATATAATTATATTATTTCTTTAACATTATTCATACAATTATAATTTACAAAGTTTGACAAAAAAAAGTTGTTCACATAATATGAAAAATTTGTTAGAAAACACTTTCATTATTTTTGATTAATACATATTCACATTAATTTCAAAAATTTTAAGGAGAAAATTTATTTTAATAATACTTATATTAAACTGCTTTTGTTCAGTGTATATATATATATATATATATATATATATATATATGTAAATAAATTTACTCTTACTTCTGTTTTACACTAACTATATCAATTATTTAATACTAAATTTGTTTTTGGAATATATATATACTGTTTTTTTTTTACTATGTATGAATTAAAATGTTACATATTTTATACTTTCAGTTAATACATATATCTACCTTATAATATAAATATATATTTACATTCATGCATTATAAGTCAACTTATAAAATACACTAAAGATATAAAGATTTTTAAATAAATCTTCTATATTTAGAATTACTATTGTATAGTATATAAATAAAATAAAAAGAAGTGAACTGGAAAAAGTTAGTTCAGTAAGTTGACA